GTTAACATGAAGGGAGGTCTGGATTGTTCTCACTTGCATTGTGGGCCCAGATATTTTGGCCGGAACGTGGGGCACGTGGCTTCGCAGCTACACGGTTAACTCAGTTTACAGCTCTTAAAGTGCTTTTTGGGGGAGAATAGACTTGGACTTGCTGGTTTCTGGTCCTTTCGGGAGTTATTTTCAGCAGCGGTCCCGGGTGTGCCGCAAGGACGTGGGTGTGCACTTGTGTGCATCTGATTGTGCGTGGAGGACCTTTGCCATGAGCCATGTGCCGCTTACAGTCAGTAATAATCAGCAACTGTTTTAGGGCTTACCATGTGCCAGGCCCTGCTGTAACCCTATTCATGCATGTCTCATCAAATCCTCACACCCAACCCACTTCACAGATGACAAAACTGAGGCCCATGGATTAACTGTCATGCCCAAGGTCACCCAGTATAGGTCTGGCAGCCTGGGGCCAGAGCCCTTCACCTCTAAGCACCTGTCTGCCAGTCTCACATCGGGCACGGGGCTGGGGCCGGTCTGGACGAATAGGGGAGGTGGGGGACAGGTTTTCCCCAAGGGAGGGGGCACCTTGGGCGGCCGATTCTCTGATTGAAAGTCCCTGCACACAGCTTCTCCCTCAACACCTCCCTGCCTCCCATCACCCCCGGCAGAAGGGAGCTCTGGGGACTGGTGGTACCGGGAGGCGAGTGGCCAGAGAGGGGTGTGTATGCCGGGGCTGCCCTGCTAACCCGGAGGGTGCTCCCTGCTCCTGTGGGCGTTGTCTGAGGCCTCCCCACCCTGCCCCCGTCATCCCGGCAGCCCTGTGCCTCAGGGGGAGATGGCTCTTCCAAAGCTCAGGCATCTCTGCAAAACCCACTGGCCTGTTCAGGTGCATCATCATGTTCCATGGTTGACCTTCTGTCCTGCTGGTCCACACAGGTGCATTTTGCCTTTTTTGTTTAATCATGGTAAGATACACAAGCCGGAAGTTTTGCTATCTTAAGCTGTTCAGTGGCATTCGGTGCATTGCTCTGAAATCATCACTACCATCCACCTCTAGAACTCTTTCCACCTTGCAGAACTGAGGCTCTGTCCCCAGGGAACACTAGCCTCCGTCCCCTTCCCCAGCCCTGGCGCCCACCGTCCTGCTCTCGGTCTTTATGAATCTAGGGACCTCACATGAGGGAGGTCCTACAGGATCTGTTCGTTTGCATCTGGCCTGTTTCGTGGAGCATCCTGTCCTCCAGGTCCGTCCCTGTGGTAGCAGGTGTCAGAATTCCCTTCCTTTTTAGGGCTGGATCATATCCACTGTATGATAGCATTTTGCTCATCCGTTCATCTGTCGATGGGCGCTGGGGTGGTTCCACCTTTGTGAGGAACGCGGCCATGAACATGGGTGTGTAGATAGCTCTCTGGTCCCTGCTGTCTTCATTGGCTCTGGCTGTGAGAACGAAATCCCACAGACCAGGTGGCTGAAACAATTTATTTCTCACAGTTCTGGAGGCTGGAATTCCAAGGTCAGGGTGCCAGCATGGCTGGGGTCTGGTGAGCGTCCTCCCATACTTGGGGGGTGGTGCAGAGAAAGCGTCTCTGGTATCCTCCTCTTATGGGGAAACAAGCCCCGTGACAGGGGCCCCACCCTCATGACCTCACCTGACGCTGACCACCTCCCCAAAGACCCCACCTCCAAATACCATTCCCTTGGGGGTTAGGTTTCAACATAGAAATTTGGAGGGGAGGGGAGGACACATATTTCGTGTGCAAGACTCCCCACCCCCGGGCCCCCAAATCCATGTCCTTCTTGCATGTAAAATATATTGATTTCACCTAACAGCCCAAAGAGTCTTAACCTCCTTCCAGCCCCATCTCAGGTATGGGTGAGACTCAAGGTATGGTTCATCCTCCGGCAAAGTACATCTCCAGCTGCAAACCTGTGACCCAGCGGTGTGCTCCCCGTGTGTAGCAGCGAGACCAGCATGTGGGAGACGCTCCTGTTCCAGAGGAGAAAATGAGCAAGAAGAAAGGGTGTCGGGTCCCCAGCAGCCCGGAACCCAGCAGCCAGCTCCGTGAGGCCCGGTGCTCTGGCCCACAGGCCCGCAGGGGCAGGGGCCTCCCCCCAGCGCTGCACGGTGGTCCCACCCCCACGGCTTCTGGTGAGACCCAGGCAGGGGCCTGATGGTGTCTCGATCCCCCTTTGGGGTGGTTTCTCCCCCTTGAAGGATGGTGCATGTTTGCAGCCCAGGAACCCATCCCGTCCAACCACCAGGTCCCCCAGCCTTCCTTCTTTCAGCCCGGCTCTGCGCCCTCGGTTCCCACCGTGGTCTCTGCTCCTATCATCCCGCATTCTCTTTGTCCGGCCTCACCGCTCCCGTGGTCTTCTCTTGCTTCATTTTTTGCAACGTGGATGGGCTGAGGTTGTCCCCTAGTCTTCGGGTTCTGGTTCCGTTGTGTTTAACCATTCCTCCTTCACTTTACCCAGTTGATCTCTCCTCACTTCTTGCTCCAAGCAGCCGGAGGTCATGGCCTGCTCCTCCACGCTGCGTAGACATCTCCTCAGCTAAATTTCCAATTCATCGCTCCCACGTTCTGCCTTCCGCAAATCCCTAGGACACAGACGCAAGTTGGCCGAGCCGTTTGTGACTTTCCTCGAGACTCTGTGTGTGAGCCCCTCAGAATGGCCTTGACCGTCCGTGCCCCTCAGACCGCTCCCAGCTTCTGCCCAGCACTCCCCAAGCGGCTCCCACATCAGTGGCACCTCAGCCCAGCAGCCAGATCCTCACTCACGGGATCCCCAGGGAAATGGAGCCCGTAGGATGCACGCATGCACACGTGTGGACACACAGAAAACATGCACACGCACACCCGCATCAAGGGTTATTACCAGGGTGGCTGAGGAGTCCGGGCGTGAGACCGTAACAAGCCAGAGGCCCCGGGCAGCAGGGCCGTAAGTCTCGGCCGGAGAGCCAGCAGGCTCAACCTCAGGAACAGTTAGCACTTTAGTCTGCATCTGAAGGTCGGAAGGCCCCTATGTGCTGGTCCAGCCGGCTGGCAGGCGTCGTCCCTCCCAGGCAGCTTGTTTGTGGCCCTTCGACTGATTGGATGAGGCCCACCCAAGCTGCTTGACCGAGTCCGCTGATTCATCCAGAAACACCGTCACAGGCTCAGTCACGGCGACACCTAAAGCTTAAGCATCATACCCGCGTTCAGGCCCTTTGGGTCTAGAGCCGGAAGTGGGGCTGCTGGACCAAACGGGAACTCTGTCCTACCCCCAAGGCACTCCAAACCATTTCCCACCACGGCTGCGCACGGCCCGCCGCGTTCCCCACCCTCTGTCCCTGCCCCGCGTCCGGGGCCCACGCGCGGAAGCCTGGGTCCCGGGTGGGCGGTCGCTGGAGGAGCATCATCTACTTGGTGGTTCCAGCCCTGCTTCTGTCTCTGCAGACGGGGTCTGCCTCTGGAATGGTCTTTGCCTTCCGCCTTCTGCCCGCGCCCCCTGGCTGGTGTAGACAGGGGCGGCCACGGCGGCTTCCTTGGAGGGCAGGGAGCTGTAGGAGGCAGTGCCCAGGAGAGGAAACCAGCATCACCCCCGAGGGCAGGGCTCTGGGGCCCATGGTGTCTGCGGCATTGGGCACGACGCTCCCGGGCAGCAGGCCTGATGGCTGGAGCCGCATCTATTCAAGCAGCTTCTTGGGAGGAGCTGGCTCCCGAGACTGTGGGGGCTGGCAAGTCTGAAATCTGGAGGGCTGGCCAGAGACTCGGGAGTCGATGCTGCAGGCTTGAGGCAGGATTTCTTCTCCCAGAAATCGGGTTTTGCTAATAAGGCCTCCCCCGCCCGCATTATCACGAAAGCTGTCGGACGGTAGATGTGTGTGTCTGCAGGCTGGCACCCGAGCGCCTGGCTCCCCCAGGGGTGTAGACCATGGCCTCCTGTCTGGGGTGCCGGGAGCCCTGCCCGCGTGGGTCCTGGCTCAGGTCTTGCCGGGGGCCCCCTGCCTGGCCTTTCTGCTTGAGCCCGCAAATCTGTAGGGCCGGAGTTGGGACCATTTCCTGTAGGTGTTGGTTCTGGTGTTCTACACACACGCAGGCTGGAATTTCTCCTGCCACACTGAAATCTGATGAAGAGCTTCGGGTACTTTTTGGAGGAGTCCCTTCCCCCTGCTTCTGGAGAGCGGCTTGCATCTAATCCGAAGGATGGGGCTCCCGGGAGTGCCTGGCGGGAGCACGGGACACGGGGCTGGGGGGCTGTGCCGTGGTCCTCGCGGGGGCTTTTGGGCGGAGGCAAGCTCTTCTGTGGGTTCTCGTGGAACGAGAGCCTCATCTGGTGACACGGCCAGGGGCTTTGAGGGGGGCAAGCGTGGCGTTTGACTCTGAGGTCTGGGGCCCAATGGATGCTGGGGCTGCCGTTTTATCAGTCGTGACTGATCCCACCCTTTGTGGCAACAGGGATGGGCCTAGAGGGCATCGAGCTAAGCGGAGTAAGTCACACAGGGAGACAAACTGTCTAATCACTGAGGCGTGGAATCTAAAAGCCCCACCCATAGGAAAAGAGGTCAGGCTTGTGGTTCCCAGGGGCGGGGGGCGGGGGGCAGGTGGTCAAGAGGCACCATCGTCCAGTTGGAAGGTGAACCATTCACGGAGCTGTGGTGTTCAGCCCGGTGCCTGGAGCGGATGGTGCCATACGGTGCGCTGGAAGGTTGCCAAGCGAGTAGATCTCAAAAGCTCTCATCACGGGGAAAGAAGTTTTTTGTCACTCTGCGCGGTGACAGATGTTGACTGACCTCATGGTGACCTTCCCGCCATCTACGTACGTCGAGTCCTTACGTCACGCCCCTTAAACCCACACAGTGCTGTGTGTCAGTTATATCTGAATGAAACTGGAGAGAAAGGAACATCTTTTGCTTTAAGACCGGGGGACTGTGACGGTGCGTTTGTGGGGCGAGGCCGTCGGTGGTGGGGACGCGTGCCAAGGGCCAGGCTCTGCCCCTGACTGGTTAACGCGATGTCCACTCTTGCAGGTGGCGATCATCGCGGGCAACTTCGAGCTGGCGGAATACATCAAGAACCACAAGGAGACCGATGTCGGTGAGTAGGCTCGGGGAGGAAGGGCTCCGCCTTGTAGGGAGACGCTCCCCGCCTTCTCTAATCCTCACGAGGCTGGCTCGGAGTCCGCGTTGAGCAAAACCTAACCCAACGTGTGGTCCTGGCCACTTTTCCATCTTCGTTCTCACGTACCCGTCCCTCCCGGCATGCGGCCCACGTAGGTCACTGCCGTGCCCCTGGTGAGTCAGATGAATTTGTGGCTAGCTTATTATTTGTGGGTTTGTTGGAAGATTCTGCCCTGTGCACACTCCCATGTAAGCTAAGAGATAGTAGCTAAACGAGGCGCAGCAGAGACTCAGTGGCCCCCTCCGACCCCCGTCTCTGAGCCCGTTCCTCTGCCCCGTGGTGCTCATGACCGTTCCCCTTTCTAGTACCCCTTGTGCCAACCAGGAGGACTGTGTCTGGGGCTCCTCCTCTGCCCTGTCGCCCTGCCGGTGGCTGGGCTCAGTCCTGCATCTTGGAAGAGCCCGCTGGCCTGTTTCCGCCGGCCCCGGGCTTGCAGAGGACCTGCAGCGGCGAGCAGTCCCAGTGGACCAGCAGTGGTGAGCTTTCGGACACGGCGCCAGTCCGTGGATGGGGTGGCACCCGGATGGCATCTGTGTCTCCTACTGCCTGTGGCCCTCACCCCGTGTTTGCTGCTGGGGGCGAGGGCAGCCACGTGTCAGGCTGTCGAGTCTTTATCGTGTTCAGTGTGTGGCCGGTTCCCGCCCTGAGTCTGAGACTTGCACGAGGGTGCGGAGCCAGATGCTTTGCTTGCGTCATCCAGCGTCCCGAGCGGAGCATCTGGGCCCCCCGAAGGCCCGCCCGGTGCCGGCACGAGTCCCTCCCGAGAACCAGGGCAAACCACTGCATTGCTCTGAGACCCGGGCCTCCACCTGGGCCGCACCAGCACCTCCGTGAGCGCACCGTAAAGATTGCTGACGTCATGTCTGCCACACCATGTAGGGAAGGGGCTGGGCCTGCGCGGTGCCCGCAGCTCCCTTCCCGCCACGTCCCCAACACGAGAGAGCAGCGCGGGGGGACGGGCTTGGCTTGAGGTCTGAGAGTATCGGCTGCTGGGCACTCGGCCCGGGAGGGGCAGGGGGCGTGGGCAGGGCTTTCTGGTGGCCCTGCCGGCCTCCTGAGCTGAGCGGTCTGTGGTGGTAGCAAGCCCGGGGCTGCCCTCCTCACTGTTCTGAGCATGGGCCTTGATGGGGCCGCATGGCAGAAAGGATGATGGGAGGTGGCCCGAGAGACCCCGGGGACTCTGCCTGTCCCGCCGCCAGTATGAGGACCAGTCACTTCACTGTCCTCACGAGCTGCCAAGTCCCTTGAAATGCCAAGTTGATTTTAAAACAAAGAGTAGGGAGATTCCTGACTGTCTCCTCCAGCTGGAGGTAGAATGAGCTTTCCTGTATGGGATGCAGACAGCTCTGGACCAACTGAGGGTTTTTTTTTTCCGATTATGAACAGAGTACCCGTTGGTCTGGTGAATATGTTTTAGTCACTACTCACCATTCGGACCCGTGACTTGTTTAAACTCCGAAGGGCAGCCCCTCCTGAGTCGCAGGGACACTGGCCGCAGGCTCGTGCAGCTTCTGTATCTCATGGTGCTGGGACTGAGGTCTGTGCCTTCGCAAGACCACCGGGGGCCCCCTGAAGATGCAGGGCCAGCTTTTACAGTCAACTCAGGCAGGAGTCAGCGCCTCTCAGTACCTGTCTTGCGGGCTTTTCCGCTGTGTATCCTGCAGGGACGGATGGTAAGGAAATCTGTGCTTCCTGCAGGGTCCCTTCAGCACCTCCAGGGAGGGAAAAAAGAGGCCTCTCCTTTCCTCTGAGTTTCCTGACGAAGGGTCTGACCGATCGAGCAAACTAGCACCAGAGCACACGAAGCCTGTGGGTCCTTTGTGTGCATAGATGTCCCTCAGTGCACTGATTCCCAGAAGCCGTCCATTGCTTGTAAAACCCCCATTCAGCCCTGTGTTCGCTGACCCTCTGGGGCCACCCTCGCTCCTGGAGGGGAGCAGATGCCGTGTGTTGTGGGGAATCTGGGAAGGACAGTACCCCGTGGTGTGCAGAAGGGTGGATCCTGGCAAGAGGGAGGATCCCTTGCAGGAGGGCGGATGCCGTGTGTGGTGGGGTCTAGGAGGGGCAGCATCCTGCGCTGTGCAGAAGGGCCATGCCTGGGAAGGCTTGCAGCTCAGGGTGTGCAAGCTGCTCCCCCCGCCATTCAGGAGGCATCCCGTTTTAGATGGAGCTCCTGCAGGCCCCTGTCCTCACCCGCGGTCCAGAACAAGCATCCACCTGGGGAACTGATGGTTTCCTCCCCACGTCCTGACTCCTCCTTGACGTCCACATTCCACTCTGACAACTCACTCTGCCCACCAGCAGCACTCCTGAGCCCCAAGATCATGGGGAGAGCTTGCAGACCAAGGATGCCACCTGCTAGCGGCTCTCAGGGGCAAGGGACCCAGAGCAGGAGGGACGAGGACATGCGGGGTGCAGGGTCCCCTCCACAAGGTCGCCCCTGGGGGAGGCCTGGCTCTGAGACCTGAGAGGTGCCCCAGTGCCTTCCTGTCTGGGGAAGTCCTGCGTCCTGAGGAAAGCCGTCTGCTTCTTGCTGCAGGAGGGGACATCCTTTTCCCTCTGCGGTTTCACACGCTCTGCCGTGCTGGAACCTCCTGAGAACGGCCCTGGGGTACCTGAACCAGCCAGTACCCGAGAAGCCAGCCCTGTCACCCCCCCCGGTCACTTCTTTCCACGGTGACTCTTCATTGAGCACCTTCTCCTCTGCAGGCCCTATGCCAATTTGGGGATTGAGAGACCTTGGTCCGTCGGAGGACTGGTCCACTAGGAGGTGTGGACCACCGGGGCTAATGCCCTCCTTGCTGCCCTGCCCCGGGTTCTGGAGCAAAAGTCCCCTGTAGACCCTGTGGCCCCTTCCAGAGCGGGACAGGCTACCAGGCACATGACTTCAGAAGAGTAGACTTTTTCCTGCACTTTCCCTCTTGGATTGTTGTATCTGCTTGTTTCCCCATGTCCTGGTCGCGTGCCACCCTGGCCGTTTCTTCATCCCCCACGTGTCCGCCAGTGCATCTTCTGGGCTCCTGGCAGTCGATCCCAAGACAGAGCTTGGGACCACCCCATTCCTGTTCTTGGCTTGGGTCGTCAGCCAAAACCTCCGGGTTCCCCGGCGCCCAGCAGCACATGCCCAGCTTTGTAGAGCACAGATGCCCAGAGCCGCCCCGCAGGGAGCCTGACTCAGGGACCTGGGGTGGCCTCTGCAGGCACCATCTCATGTCCCTCCAGCTTGCTGAGGCTGGGCATCTGAGCACCGCCCCACCTCTGCTTCCCAAGGCCCCTCATCCCCGGCGGGCTGGTTCAGGATGTGAGGACAGGCCACGTGCTAGTGTCCTGGGGCCACCGTCAGGAGATGCTCCAAGCTGGGCGGCACATAACAAGCAAGATGTATTCCGCTGCCACTCTGGAGGCCAGACGTGCAGAGTCGAGCTGTTGGCAGGGCTGGTCCGTCCTTGCCTCCCGCCAGTTCTGGTGGTAGCCCGGGCTTGTCAGTGTGTCTCCTGTCCCTGGCGTGGCTGCACGTGGCCTGCTCCGCATCTGTGTCTCAAACCCCCTCTCCTTTCTCTGACAGGGCACAAGGCTACCCTACCCTCAAGGGCCTACCCTAAGTCCAGGATGTTCTCGTCTTGAGAGTCTCAGGTTGATCCAGGGATTAGGGCGCAGGCGTGTCTTTGGGGCACGTCAGCCACCATCGAGGGCAGTCACGTGGCCGCATGACTGTCTCTTGGAGGCTGTCCCCTCTGCAGAGCCAGGTGGCGTCGGCCTTCCCCGCAGTGCTGGCACGTAGTAGGGCCTCAGTAAATGCCTGTTGAGTGAGTAGCCCCTCACTGCTTGTGTCCCCATTCCAAGCTCCTCTCCTCCCTGTCTCTTCTTGAAATAAAAACCTGCTTTCCTGGCTCCTGGTCACGGGTGTTGGGGAGCAGAGCGCGTGTTATGGGCACATGAGCTCCTGGGTCGGACGTGCTTGCCAGAGTGTTGTGATGTGTGCTCCCTCCCACGCGTGGTCAGAGTCCAGGGGCAGAGCTCACGGGGCACGGGGAGGGGAGACGTGGGCAGCAGGTTGCATGGGCCTCTCAGCCCTCCCACCAAGTGGTTCTGGAGCCACGCTAGACTGAGGGTCTCTAATGTGCTGTTGGTCAGGCTCTGTGGCCACGTGGCTCTCCAGTGCCAGCTTCGGTGGCTCAGCTCCCCGACCCCCATCCTTGGGACCTGCGAGGGTGCCGTCACAGTCTGTCCCTATCAAGGCCACTCCTCTGTCTGCTCCCGGACTCTGGGGTGGCAGGCGTCCCATGCCGAGGGCTTCAGCGTATCCCCACGTGCCCTTCGTCTTTTCCTGTCCACCTCCAGAATCGTGGCGGGGTTGCTGGAGAGGACGGGACGGGGCTGTGTTTCTACTTTATGATCTGCATTAAATATTGACTTGTAAGCTACCCCGAGGCGCCAGAGAAACATTGGAAGACAGGGATGTGTGTCCTAGACCTGAGGCTGGTGGCCCTTGCCTCTGGGTCCGGACCAGCCCACGATGCTCACCCACAGAGTTTGTCGATCACACACTCCGTGGGGCTGGGACACTGTTTTAGAGCACCAACCTCACGGGTCAGGACCCCGGACGGAGGGGATGAGGGTAAGCCTCCCCTTTGTCTGCATCGCGTTGGGCTGCATTTCTGAATGTAAACATGGTGGAAGGATCCCCAAATTCCAAGCTGAGGGTGGGGACGTGGGGTCGACTTTGATGTTTCAGAGCGAGCAAACTGCAGCACAAAACATTTTCCTGACTTGCCTAATCGGCGATGCCTTCCTCAAAAAGCCCCTTTAAACCATCAAATAGCCACCCCCCCTTCCCCCCGACTCAGCGCGACAGATCCTTTGTTTTCCGGACACCACCAAGAAACCAGGGCACTTAGGACGCTCCGATGTGGCTT